GTGAAAATGTCGGTAAATTTTTCACTGAATCAAACATAAACGCCCCTTTTTAGTAAAGGTACGTAAATGGCAGAATGTGTCAACCTTTTAAGAACAGGATTTTTCCTGTATTTTTTATCTCATAACTTTTCCAAACCTAATTCTTACTTAAAGTCCACTAAGTTAACTGCTATTTAGAAAACGATTCTTTTCCAACAGCAGATGTTTTCTTTGGTGCAAAAGGTTCTCAGGATGGGGGAGATGCCGGTTGCCCCGATAACCTCATGTTCTGTTTTGGTTGGGAAATACAAGGGCTACTTTCCCATCTAGAAGGACTGTTTGGAATTTGGGGTTTTCCCAAAGGAAGGGTTGGAACCTAATATCTCTTTTCTTAAATAGTTTCCGTGAGATTCTTGGATAACCCAAATCAAGAGCTGAGGTTACAAAAAACCGGGAACCCCCTTTGTAAATCATCACTTTAATGGGAAAAGTTGACGCCGTGGGGAAAATATGTGGCCCAATCTATACAACAACTAGACCCTTTTTCGCGTTTTTCCAAGCTCATCTAAGGGGAAAACCTACCACCCCTTATTTTTTCCCAAAAGGAAAAGCCCAAAGGCTTCTCATATAGATTTAAGGGGCTTCAAAAGACTTGTCCTTCCTAGAGGAATCTCGGGGGTTGCTTTTAAATGGCAAGGTGACCCAGAGAAAGAAATTTTTTACAAATTTGAGTTTAAACCATCTTTTGACAAGATATATGTCTGCGGGCAACCCAAAGACTTGGCGAAGCCTGTTATCATTCCGCAGGTTCGTGAAACCATTTTAAGATTTCTCTGATTGCCATCCTGGGGCCCTTTTTTTACATGGAAAAACCCATAAAAAATCAAAACCTTATTTCTGGGCCCAGCATTCCCCTGACATCTATAAGTACGAGATCAAAATCATATGTCAACTTTCCCCCAGAAGGGTAGAACTAGGGATTCCCCAGGGAAAAATGCCAATTTTTCGTCCCTTTTGCAAGGGTTGCAGTAGATATAGTTGGTCCTATCACACCCCGCTCTCAGGGGGGTCAAAATAATTTTTTAAAAGATTGACTTCGCTCCGCTTCCCAAGGCGGTACCCTTAAAATCCATTACTCCCCGAAGTCGCAAGCCTTTTTTTCTATTTTTTTACGTGTAGGGATACCTCGTGAATCTGTCTGACAAAGGGGGGGACAATTCACCGAATTAAGGAAAACGTTTATCAAATTGTGGGTTAAACCTCTTTTCATACACCTTACCATCCGGTTAACGGAAGAGTGGAGCGAACATGCCATCCTAAAACAATACAAAAAAAAAATATGTATTTTTAAAAAACGGGCGGATAGAATTTTTACCATGTTCTTTTCCAAGCCGAGATTCCAAATGATTCCCCTTGGGTTATTCCCTTTGAATTGCTTTTGGGAGACAAGCCGGGGCCCTATCTATTTTGAATGAACTTTGGCCAAAGAACAAAACCGGGTTTAAAACACTACAGTTTCTTTTGATCAAGGGGGAAAAAAAAGAAAAACCGCCCATTTGGGCGTAAAACCTAGAGAAGTCTATGGAAATGTACAAGACCTATTTGACCAAAAAGCTCCAGCGTACGTTTAAAAATTTTGGGGATGAAGTTTTTTCTCCTACCTGCAAAACCCAAAAAATTGCTAATTCCTGGCGCGGACCGTATAAATAGTAAGGTCTGCAATAAGTAGATTTTATTTGGATGTAAGGAAAAGAGAAAGTAACACGTCAATATTTGAAAAAGGTACCATCGAAAGAAGTTAATCTTTTCGAAAGCCTTTTACGAAGATACTCTTCTTTCAGCTTGGGTACAATGGCGATTCGTACGAATGTAAAATTTGTATTATAGATACAGTCTTTACAGAATCGAAGGGAAATACTGGAACTTAACGCAGATCCCCACCAAAGAAGTCAAATGTAACATTAACAACGCTTTTCAAATAAAAAAAAAGCTCAAGTAATCCTTGGTAAATTTTATTTCTGACGTATTTACAGAGGACCAGGACTTTTCCACCACATTTTTCCAAAATTAATTGTCGGATCATGAACCTAAGGGGGAAAATCACCCCGTTTTCCCCTTTTTACGAAAAAATTTTTTATATGAGGGGGACAAAAATATTTTAAAATTTAAAAATCTAAACTTCGAAATCACTTTCTGTTCACCAGTTGTTTTGGTTAAGAAACCCGAAATTCTTACCGATGGCACAAAAATTTTCTTATTTTAAAACTATAAACTAAATGGTGCAGAACCCATGCCAGAATTGAACGACTTGTATAAATTCCCTGACTGAAACTTTTCAAATTAGACATCTCACAACCTACCATAAGTGCCATTACACCCAGACCAAACCCTCATGCTTTCCCCCACTCTAAGGCCCAATGAAAATCGCACAATCCCTTTCGGCTTGTTCCCCCGTGGCCACATACATTAGGGTTATGGGAAAAATTCTCTTGATCTAAAAAATGTTTCAGTGTTTTTATTTTTTTATCAGAAAAAGTCGGGAAACCACAAATACATACCTTGTTTTTTTAAAAGACAAGAACTCACGGCCTTACAGTTAAACCACAAAAGTGCTTTCTTGGGTATCTAAAGGGACAATACCCTTGGTATTATCCGATAACAAATTTTCCCCACTTCCTAATAAGACCCAAAATGTTTTAGAAAGTACGTTTCCCCGCTTACCAAAATTTTTTAAAAAGTTTTCCCTTTGGGTCGTAAACTTCATAGAAATTTTTTACAAATCAAGTAGCTTAATTCATTCTTACAGACTATTTGAAAAAAGGGGGTCAAGGAAACCCCTTAGTTGTTCTGAGGGAAACCCCCCAAAGTTTTAAAAAATTAAAGATATTTTAAAACCCCCCTGCCTAAAATTAAACCCAAAATTAATAAAATATTTTTTTTTCCGAACAGATCCTCCCCTTCTGGACCGGGGGGGTACTACTTCAATATTATGAAAGGAACACCTTTTTCCCGTATCTTCGCCTAAGAACTTCGCCCCAAAAAGAAAGAATTCCCTGTGGGAAAGAAGTTTCTTTTTTGGGGTATAAGAATTTAAATATACCAAACGGTAAACCCTTTGTGCTTGAAACAGATCACAAGCCACTGATGTACTTGGAAAAAATTTAAAGGGGCAATAGCAGCTCTTTAATGGGCTTGGGATTCAGCCCCATAAGTTTAAAATCGTTTATATTTCTGGCTCTGAAAAACCCTTTTCGATTGGGGAGGCCCAGGTTTATTAGTTTTTTTTCCCCCTGTTCGTTGACTTTTTGACTCCCTCCATAAGTTTTGGGAAGGGTATTTGGGGGGAAAAGTAGGTTAAGTGGGGGTTTAAAGGGTTTTTCGGAACCCGGAACCATTTGTTACCGCGTGCCCCCCCCCCCCCTCCTCTCGGGGGGCTGGGCAAACTAGTTTTTCCCGGGGTCCGATTTGTTAGTTTCTACTCCTGGAAAATTTTCCTTACCCCGGGGTGGGTTGAATTTTGGAGAGTCACTTCACCTCCACTCTTCCCTAATCAGTAGGGTGATATACCAGGTTATCATTTTGTTTTTATTTTGTTTACTGGTTACCAGTAAAAAATTTTGGGATTTATCATTCTTTTCAAATTTTTAAATTTATATTAACAAACTATGGTAACCAGTTTATTTTCTCTTATTTACCGCTCTTTCCTGGCTGGGCTTCCGGTAGACGCCAGATAAAGGAGCAAGACATGTTAATAATACTTATTAACATTATTCTACTTCTACCGGCCCTTACCTATTCTACTTGTGCTCCATCCAAGTGGTAGGAGATTCCAGAACATCGGATTACCATCTGCCCAGGATAACCTACACAAATAACACCAGAGGAACTATCCAGGGCCATACCTACTCCTGCCCAACTAAAAGAACTGAAGGCCATTTTTTTTTATTTATTTAAATTTTAAGTAAAATTCTCAAAAATCATTTTTCTCATTTTTTCCTAAGTTATTTCTTTATTTATTTATTTTTCCATTAATTTCTTTTGTTCAGTTGGAAGGCGTTCCACTGACAGCTAAAGCTCCCGCTTCACACACGGAGGGCCCGGGTTCGATTCCCGGCGGGTGGAAACATTTCGGCACTTTTCCTTACACCTGTTGTCCTGTTCACCTAGCAGCAAATAGGTACCTGGGTGTTAGTCGACTGGTGTGGGTCGCATCCTGGGGGACAAGATTAAGGACCCCAATGGAAATAAGTTAGACAGTCCTCGATGACGCACTGACTTTCTTGGGTTATCCTGGGTGACTAACCCTCCGGGGTTAAAAATCCGAACGAAATCTTATCTTATCTTCTGGGAACCACTTATGGCCGCCAGGCAGGAAATTATTGAGGAAACATTGAAGAGGAGCAGTTGTAGGGATGAAGACGAGATCGTCCACATTATTCACAGTGGTGATGATGATGTGTCTCATCCAGCAGTCAGTGATGAGAGAAATGATGTGTCTCATCCAGCAGACAGTGATGAGAGAAATGGTGTCTCATCCAGCAGTCAGTGATGAGAGAAATGATGTGTCTCATCCAGCAGTCAGTGATGAGAGAAATGATGTGTCTCATCCAGCAGTCAGTGATGAGAGAAATGGTGTCTCATCCAGCAGGTCAGTGATGAGAGAAATGATGTGTCTCATCCAGCAGTCAGTGATGAGAGAAATGATGTGTCTCATCCAGCAGTCAGTGATGAGAGAAATGGTGTCTCATCCAGCAGTCAGTGATGAGAGAAATGATGTGTCTCATCCAGCAGTCAGTGATGAGAGAAATGGTGTCTCATCCAGCAGTCAGTGATGAGAGAAATGATGTGTCTCATCCAGCAGTCAGTGATGAGAGAAATGGTGTCTACATCCAGCAGTCAGTGATGAGAGAAATGATGTGTCTCATCCAGCAGTCAGTGATGAGAGAAATGATGGGGTCTCATCAGCAGTCAGTGTGAGGAGAAATGGTGTCTCACCCAGCAGTCAGTGATGGAGAGAAATGATGTGTCTCATCCAGCAGTCAGTGATGAGAGAAATGATGTGTCTCATCCAGCAGTCAGTGATGAGAGAAATGGTGTCTCATCCAGCAGTCAGTGATGAGAGAAATGATGTGTCTCATCCAGCAGTCAGTGATGAGAGAAATGATGTGTCTCATCCAGCAGTCAGTGATGAGTGAAATGTGGCCCAGGAGGAGGACCCAGGACTGCAGTCTAAGAAAGGTATACTGTATTATATGCACCAGGGGAAGCGCTAAATCCTTAGGGGTATTAGCGCATTGGATGTGGGATGTGATGAGGTTTTATTCCAGCAAAGGGATGCGTGGCTGCAGTTCCTCGCATTAAGAGCACATCCCTCAAGGGAGGTTACTTAACTCCATTGAGGATCATAAGGGGCTCTTGATCCAAGAAACTTCTGTAACCTTCCTCCTCCTTGGATCTAACCTGAATGTCTCGTATTCCCCAGGAACTATATGACCCCTACCTGTTTGGCGCTTCCCGATAATTAAAAATATAAGATTTGTGGAAAATTACATTTATCTGGATATAACATAAGGTACATACCAGTAAATGGTAACAAAGATAATTATTATTTATCAAAGTTACATAGACAAGTAGGAATTTGGGACACCTAGGTCACAAAAAATGTCCCCTTCGATACCTACAACTTATATCCACAAGTTGCTCTAGTCCTATTAATTACAAATGAATATGCATCACCAGGAATTCTGGTAAATATATAAATTTGTGGACTGTATATTCAAATTAATAAATGATTATATATACACATTTATATAACAGAAGGAGAATATTTCTTAATATTTGACTGGAGATTACTGTGTATCATACTCAAAAACCTCACTGTCTATTTATGAAAATTACACTGGCCAGAGCTACAACATAAACAGACTTATCTGAGGTTCCTGGAGTTGTCCTTTCCTGTCACCTGATTTCTCACGTTATGCAGGGTTGCACATCCAATAATTTCGGCTCCTATTTGAGAGGTTTTAAGCCCAATATAACCTGGTTTCTTTTTCTGTTTCATAAGCACGCTAGATAACAGGGATATCTTGATACTCCTGCTTACACTTTGGTCACACTTCCCGACAGCACATGCA